CGGTTGTTGGTGTTGAGCACAGCCGTGCTCACGGGCAGCAGCTGGCAGTGGATCTCAGAGTGGCTCCTGCTTGTCAGTGGTGGCGCTCTGGCCTCCCTACCAGTCCTCCCGTGTGTGGGCTGCCCCGCTCCGGCACACCCCTAGCACTCGGAGCAGGCAGGATGCAGTGGGAAGGGCAGCGGGATGGGACTCTCTGGGGACGAGGCCCTGTCTGGCAGCGCAGCTTTGGATGTGACAGAAGCCTGAAGTCTGGATTACATGAAACCTTCCAGTTTTTAATGTTGGCAAGTGATTGAATTAAAGTGAGGTTTTTTTTGTTTGTTTGTTTTTTGGTTGGTTGGTTTTATTTGTGTGAAGTGACCAAAACTCTCTGTTGTTCTTAGTGGCATCAGCCTAACCTGCTAGGTGATAACCCTGTGGGATGATGTTCCAACGAGAGGTGTTGGGCTGGAGAGCTTGCCTCCACGCTGGCTGCGTGGCCTGGGGTCACCTGCCTCCTTGGGCGTGGGTCCCTCTTCCTGATCCCTGGGACCTTCCTGCCTGGGACTTTGCTGAGCCACTGTGGGCATGACATCACCATGCAGCATTGCACAGATCCCCGCATTCCACAGATTCAGGGGTCCCTGTCTGGCTTCCCAGGTCGGCGTCTGTCGTGCTTCTTGTCCTTGTGAGCAGTTCTTCTGCTGCACTCTGCTTTTGCCAAGGGGACTTCGGGGGCCTCTGTAGTGGCGGTGGCCCCGCCAGCCCATGATGGAACATACTTAGCTTGGGCTCAGGGTATACACACACTTTGGGCTTAAGTCAGACAGTTGGGATAGAACGAGGACAAGGGGACTAGCATGGATACCCAGAGTGCATGCAGAGGCTGTCGGGAACAGAGTGGGGTTTTCCAGGTGTTCAGGGCCTTTCCAGGAAGGAGCCTGCACAGGGACACTCTGACAGGTGGAGCTCCGCCTCAGCCACAGACCACGGCGGCCTTGAGCAAGGACAGCTTTGCAGCCAGGAAGCCTGAGACCCACGGGAGCTGCGTTAACAGAGAGCAGCCCCAGGAGCAGGACCCTGCCTCCTGCAGCGGGGGCTGCCATTGGAGCTCTGTGCCCGTGGTGACGCACCTTGGTCACCGTCACAGTCAGACGGTGACCAAGGTGCGTCACCACGGGCACAGAGGAGAGGAGGCCCAAGGATGCCCACTGCCACCCTGACTCGAGACAGATAGCAGAGGAGATCGTGAACTTGTCCTGCTCAGATCCAGGACCTGTGTGCTTACTTCCTGTTCTCTCCTGCTGGTGTCTGCTCAGTGTTCCATGTCTATCCTCGCTCTAAAAGGGACAGTGACACCCTAGGAAGGTATCTGGGTGCTGGGAGGAATGCAGAACAGGGTTGCTGCTGAGATGAACCTGGAGAGAGAGCTCCTTGTTGGGGAGAGTTCCTATAGAGCAGGGCTCAATTCTCAGAAGAAGAGGGTCACTGGGGTCTGGAGAGGTGGCTTGGAGTCTGGCCAACAGGTTTGTTGTCCTGGAGCCAAAGATAGTGGGATTCCAGGGGTCCACCTTGGAGGAACGTTGAGGGGAAGTTGTCAGAGGCTCTGGACTCAGGCTGCCTGGGTCCAGCCTCAGCCTGACCACTTGCTGCTATGAGCCTTGGAGGGAGCCTCCAAGTCCCTGAGCAAAGTGTTGTAGGCCGTGTGCTTGGCCAGCACCTGCAGGGTGCAGCGAGTCCCTCACCTGAGCAGTCCTGCTCCCAGGGGTCCCTTTTACCCCTGGTGTGGATTCCCGTTGTCTGTCCCAGCCAGCCACAGTCACAGGTGTGCTGGGAGTCCATGTGCTGGTGTGTCCCCAGGGACCTGGTGTCATGAAGAGGCAGACAGAGCCTGACTGCGGGGATCTGTGCAGCGCTGCATGGAGACGTCATGCCCGCAGTGGCTCAGCAGAGTGCCCTGGCTGCCCTCAGCCATCCTGCCCACCTGCACTCTCCCCTGTGCCTTTCTTTGCCCTGCTCACACAACACATCTCCCACAAAGAACCCTCCCCATGGGCAGCAGGGCCCAGCAGTCACCAGCACCTGCAGAGCCCTCACTGTGGGCACGGGCAGCGTGTCCTCAGGTGTGTTCTGCCTGCTGCGCTCCCTGTGGTCCCACCACAGAAGACCCGGCTGGCCTGGCACAAGCTTGAGACCCTTGCTTGGCACCAGTCTGCTTCCCTGATCCCCGACAGGTGTGAGTGCAGAGGGACCCAGCAGAGCCACTTTGCCGTGGGAGTCCCTGGCCTGTCCTCTGACACGCTCCATGGGGAGAAGACAGGATCCAGGGGTGGCCAGGGCGTGTGGGTGCTGGGGAGAGCCGCCTTTGCACATCTCTTTGCCTGCCTTCTGCGCCGGAGGAGGCTGTGTGGGGCCAGCGGGGCGGGGAGCAGGGCTCTGGGGGGGCACCACCCGGCTGCTGCAGATGGGGCCCCACAGGGCGCCCCTCCACAGCCCAGGAAAGGTCATGCAGCCCTGTGATGCCGGCAGAGGGTGGATTTCAAAGCCCCTCAGAATTAAGAGGTTTTCCCCACGGCCTGGAATTTCACAGCCCAGTGGCCAATTTCCAAGTCATGCACATTAATGGGCAGCTAATGAGGGACCCACCGGCAGGGACAGGAAAATGCCCCTGAGCCCCCAGAGCCAGATTAAGGAGTACAAAGTCCCCAGCCGCTGATGAAGGGCTCTTTATCTTTGCTCTCAGGAGGCCAGGAGTGGGCAGAGAGCGAGCCTCGGTTGCTCGCAGGGCCAGGGCAGGCTGCATGAATGCCGCACGCCGCTTCCTCTGGCCCAGGCTGTTGCTGTTCTGCTGCGCTCCCTGCTGTGCCCAGCAGCATCGCCCAAGGTTCAACGACCTCACTCCAGTGAGAAGGACAAGGAGCCGAAGGCAGGAAAGGCCTTTCCCAGCAGTGGCCAATCCCAGGCCCCAGCCGGGGGCCTTCCTGGGAGCCTTGGCACAGGGAACCCCCGTGAAGATGGAGCCGAGGTCGGAGCAGTGTGGCCTCCTCCAGGGAATGCCCACAGCCCAGAAGCTGGAAGAGGCAGGAGAGGCCCTCTAGAACCCTCAGAGGGAGCACCACCCTGCTCACACCTGGACCTCAGATTGCTGGTCTCCAGACCCACGAGAGAATAAATGCCCGTTGTTTCAGCCACCTGGTTTGTGGTGCTCTGTTACAGCAGCCACAGGAACCTAAGGCAGAGGCCGGGGTCAGGGGAACCCAGTGACTCTCCCTTTCTCGTCTTCTCTTGTCCATGTGCTCACTCACTCATTCATCCAACCTGTCCCCAGCACTGTCAAGAGTCAGAGGGGCAGGGAGGTGTGTGGCATTGCAGCCTTCAAGGTGAGATGCTGGGCACCTGTCACGGCCCTTGCCTGAGCCCAGGCCCTGTTGTGTGCAGCAGGACCATGGCAACATTCTCAGTGTTTGAGGTGGACGTTCTCGAAAGCTGGGCTCTCAGCCCACACATGGTGGCAGCCCAAGTGCTGTGTGTGTCCTGAGCTCCTGGACCTCCAGCCCTGCTTCCTTCAACCTGTGCATGCATGCTGAGAAACTGGTCACAGCTGGTCAAGCATATATTAAGCTCGGCTGTGTGAGCCTTAAGGAGGTAACCAAATCAGAGGGTGGGACCTTAGGAGCACACAAGGAAAAAGCCTTTTGAGGCCCCCCTGGTGTCTGACAGGTGTGGGCTGGCCGGATGGGTGGGGCTCTGGGCATTGACATAGCTTACAGCCACGGTTCCCACAGGAGGTCCCCAGCCAGCAGCCTTAGTAGCACTGGGAACTCATCAGAAACGCAGGTTCCCAGGCCCCAGCCGGACCCGCTGGGGCAAAAGCACTGGGGAAGGGCTGCAGCCAGAACACGGCTGCCCCAGGGGACTCGGGTACAAGGGAGTGTAAGAATGGGAGGGGGCTGGCTTCCAGGAACCAACAGACTCCGTTTCAAGACCGGACTTCCTGTGCCTCTTTCAGAGTGGGACCAGCTGCAGCTGCCTCCCCATCAAGCTTGTTAGAGGTGAGGAGTCTGCCCCGTGGCAGGCCTCAGGTGAGAGGGAGCCCCGTGCTGGAGGAGCTCCCAGGGCAAGCGGGGGAGGGAAGCCCCTGGCACCCCACGTGGCACACCTGCTACAGATGAGGGTCTGGCCAGGAGTCACGTTGCCAATCCGCGGCAGGCTCAGCTCAGAGACCTCCACCCCACCCTCAGGCTGGGGGCCTCACAGGGGCCCCTGAGGGCGGGGCCCTGGAGAAGCCAGCTGAGCTCCTTCAGAGCCCTGGGAAGCCCCACCCCGAGGAGGGGCCTGTGGGGGTATCTTAAGATCCCTGGTGAGGTCAGCTGTCTCAGAAGCTGCAAACTCTTGGCAAGGTGGCTCTGACCCCTTGTCCCTGTCTCCCTGGGCTTTGGGCCCTGACCCCACATGCCCTCTGGGGCCCCCTCCGTCATCAGCGGTCAGCCCATCCCCAGCTGAGGTGGGCTCTTTCTCGGCAGCCCTCCCTGCTCAAGCAATGCAGCAGAGGCAGCTGGAGGGAGCCTGAGACCTGTCCCTGGTGGCCGGGACTGTCTGGCCCCTTAGCGTTGGTATCTGTGGTAAGGACCAGGGCTTGGGGTGCCATGGGTGCAGAAGGTTGGAAGCTTGGTGGTGGTGGAGTGGGCTGAGGGTGGATGGGGGAGGGAGTTGGAGGACTGAAGCAGGGGAAGGACAGGGGGTCAGGATCACCACGGGGTTCAGAGAACAGAAGTGAGAATAAACGGGTAGAAAGTGGAGGGGTGAGGGCAGAGGTCACGGAGCTAATGCCTGTGTGGCGCTTGGGACCGGCCAGGCCAGGCCGAGGAAGAGGGCTGCGGGGTGGGGTTGACCTGGGCTTTTAGCTTGTACCCACCTGACCTGGAGGGAGGAATCCGAGGTCTTGGGAACGAGACCTTAAGCTGTGAAGAAAGGGAAGGCAAAGACTGCCCTTTCTCTCTGTCCCTCTGCTGTCCCCAGCCATGGAGGGACAGACCCGAGGAGGCAGAAGCCCTCCAGAAAAGCCCCTTCCTGCCGCTGCCAGCCGCAGCTTGTCCTCTGTGGGCGCCATCTTCATTCTCCTGAAGTCCGCGCTGGGAGCGGGGCTGCTCAGCTTCCCCTGGGCCTTCCACAAGGCCGGGGGCGTGGGGCCCGCCTTCCTGGTGGAGCTGGTAAGTCTCAGGAGGTGCTCTGGAGCCCTGTGTGGCTGCGTGGCCGCTTCGGCCTCCTGGGTGGGACCCGCAGGCTGCTGGCGCAGAGCTGCGTGTCTAGGAACCGGGCCTCTGGGGTCTTGCCCTCTATCTGCTTGGCTGATGGGGGAGGCCACAGTCCATCTCGTGGCCCTGGGCAGGAAACATTCTCCACCGTGGCTGGTGAGCTCAGCCAGAGCCGGGTGGTTCACAGGCAAAGTTCTGAGCACCCCGTACATGAATCTGGCTCTGCTGCTGGGCAGGAGCCACCTTCGGGCATCCTTTCTCCTCCAGAGCTGCCCAGGCCCCTGCCAGGAGCTCAGTGGGCAGAGGCTGGAGGGCTCCGATGGCTGCGGTGGAAGGAGGTCTAACTGGTGAACCTCAGACTCTTGGGAGTTGTGAAGGCCAGACCTGGGACAGATGGCCAGACTTTGCTGTCCTGCCGTCACTTTGTGGCCACTGGTCCTGGGGGAGGTTCTGGGCCGAAGCTCCTCTCACGCTTCCTTCAACCCCCGAAGGTCTTTACTGAGCACCTGCTGGGTGCCAGGAACTTCTCTGGCACAGAGAAATGTGCTGTGGTCCTCACGGAGCCAGACATGACGGTGCTGGGGTGTGCAGAGCTGCGCAGCTGCCAGAGTCTGTTCCCCCAGCTGCTGGACAGAGCACCTCAGATGGGTGTTTAATGCCCCAGGAACATCTTCCCACAGTCTGGAGGCCAGAGTCTCTCAAAGGTGTCAGAGGGGCCCACGGCCTCCATCCTCTTCTGGCCCCTGGAGGCCCAGGGCCCGCAGCTTGTGCGTGACCACCTCACTGCAGACTCCACCTCCTGCTTTTCCTGGGGCCCCTCCTCTCTCCCAGAAGGATGCTCATCACTGGAATTGGGGCCAGCTGCATGATCCTGGCGACTTTACCTGAGGCTCTTAACAACATGCTTCAAGACTCTTCGTCGTCATTGACATCTGCAAAAACTAAGTCGAAGTCGCAGGTTTGTGGGTTGGGGCACCATCCCTGCACGTGGTGGACCATTCTCTGCAAAAATGGTGATCAGCAGCACACACAGCACAGGGTACTGTCATCAGAGCTATGCCGAGCGGAGGAAGCCAGATAGGGACACAGAACAGGGGGAAGGGGAGGTCAGGGGTTTCTTCCAGGGAAAGACAGGCAGAGCTGGCTGGAAGGGGCCTGCGGACCTTCCGGAGACTGTGGAACACTGTGTGCCAAAAGGAGTGGGTGACCACGTGCATCTCCTGTGCAACTCCGATGACACGGAAGGTGCTGCTCTTGATTCTGTGTAAATTCCATGGGGGGACTGGGAACACATCGCCCTCCGTAGCTGTGGGCAGCCGTGTCGGGGAAGCACACTGATAGCAGCAGCTGGCTTCAGATGCGTCCATCAGTGGAGGCTGCGAGCTGCAGAGGCCTGGCCAGCGGGTGGAGACTGAATCCCTGAACAGGAGCTGCTCCTGGCCCACGCTGGGAAGTGGGTGTGGTGCTCACTGCAGAATCATTCTAACTCTCCTGTATGTTTGGAAGTCATGGTAAACAGTGGGGAAAATATTTCAGCCGACACAGAGGGAGATTGGAGCACTGAAGGATGGCCACCACTTCTGGAGCACTCTCCCTGAGAGGGCACTGAGCTAGGCTTGTCCCCTGCCATGGTCAGGCCTGCTGAGGTGGGCAGGCTGTGCCCATTTCACAGAAGGAACAGCAGGGGCGGATGGTCTGGCCCCACACAGCAGGCCACACATGGTTAGATTCTGGGCCCAGGCCTGCTGTTCCTCCTTGGGTTCCTAACCACCGCACACACCCACACCCAGGCGACCCAAGGGCGTAGTTTAAACTCTCTGGACCCCTGTTGTCTCTTCTGTCCTGCTGGGGCAGGATGGGGTCAGAACCCAGGTCTGCAGAGCCAGAGTGGCCATTGGGCTCCACCTGCTCTGCAGCTCTGACTCAGGGTAGGGAGGGGTGGAAGCCCATCTGGTGGAGGCTGCAGGCTCCAGGCTCCACAGCCAGTCCCCAGCCCTGGCCTCCACAGAGGCCCATTGGAAGACCATTTGGTGGAGGCTGCAGGTTCCACAGCCAGTCCCCAGCCTGGCCTCCGCAGAGGCCCAGTGGAGGCCCTGGGGCTGCTGACCTGAGCATGCATAGTCCCACAATCTTTCTCTGCAGGTCTCCTTGGTCTTCCTGATCAGTGGGCTGGTCATCCTGGGCTACGCGGCCTCTGTCAGCGGCCAGGCCACCTACCAGGGTGTGGTCCATGGGCTCTGTGGCCCCACCATCGGGAAACTCTGTGAGGCCTGCTTCATCATCAACCTGCTCATGATCTCCGTGGCTTTTTTCAGGGTAATTGGAGACCAGCTGGAGAAGTGTAAGTATCCTTGAAGAGTCAGAGTGGCCCAGGGTACAGAGCCCATAGTAAGTGGGACTCAAGATACTGGGCAGGGCCCGAGGGGCTGCACATCCAAGTTCCCAACATGGTGGGGCAGGGAGACTCAAACTGATCATCAGCAGTAGGGCAGTGGTCATGAGCTGAACAGGAGAGACCATGCCTACATGGGATGTCCAGTGGTCGCAGCCCATTTCACAGATGGGGAGATGGAGCCAACTGCAAGAAATCCTTGCTGAAAAAGGCCCAGTAATGCCTTCAATTTTGAAATGCCTAAGTGACATGGACTCTTTCTGGTCCCCTGCTAAGACTTTTCCTCTAAGCACTGCCTTAGCAGCACCTTACCAGTGTCCATATGTTCTGCTCTCATTTTTATACCATTCTGAATATCTGCTAATTCTTGCTGTCATTTGTTCTATAACTTATGGGATGTTTGAATTGTGTTGTTTAATTTCCGTTTGTTTGGAAGTTTTTTAGATCCTGTTTTGGTCTCTACCTTCATTATTTTGTGGACAGAGAACTTGGTAATTTCAACTGTTTTGTTTGTTTTTGCAGTGCTGGGGTTCCAACTGCTAGGCAAGCTAGGCAAGCGTTCTACACGGAGCCACACCCCAGCTGTCAGTCTTCCGAGATCTGTTGGGACTTGGTCTGTGGCCTAGCACTTGGTCAGCCTCGGCAGCACTCTGTGTGCTTGTGGGGAGCTGTGTTCTGCAGTTGCTGAGTGCAGCGTGCAGGAACGGGTGTCAGGCCAGGTGGGCAGCAGCCCTGTGCAGGTCTCCTGTGGCAGCCCTGTTCATCTTTTTATCTTGTTCTAGTTATTTTCTCAATAGTTCAGCTGCAATTGCAGATTTGTCCATTTCTCCCTTTAATTCTGTCAATCTCTGCTTCTTGGTTTTTGAAGCTCTGTGATTAGGGACATTCTGTTATCGTTATGAAACATTCTGCCTTATCTCTGGGTGAGTCCACCTTCTCTGCTGTAGATAGGCCACTTGGCTCCCTTCAGATCAGGATGTGTGCAGTAGACATTGTTCCTTTTCTTGTACTTTGAACTTGACGGTGGCCTGGAATTTTAAAATGCATTTCTTGTAGACAGCATCTGTTCCGCTCTTGCATTTTTCTGTCATCTTGACAATCTCAAGACATTGAATTGGATTGTTTAGACTTAATTGGAATGTAATTAGTGATAGGGTTGGTTTAAGTCTACCATTTACCATTTATTTTTCTCTGACCTTTGACCCCTGTGTGAAAAGGTCCCTGGCCATGGGATTTTGGAATTAAGGCCACCATGTCTTAGGAAACACTGTCATACAGCATCACAGTTGGTCTCCCTGACCCTCCTGGTGGGTGAGTGGCCACAGAGTGCCTTGCTTCTCTCAAGTTTCCTAGTGGTGAACTGCTAGTGCTGTGCTGAGGAGGGCTGAGGACCAGTGTTGGAGCACTGTGACCGTGGTGCTGATCAGGATGTGAGTTGCCCGCTTGACTGGGGTGGAGAGTACCGCCCATGTTTCTGGTTAGGTATTTGGGGATATGACTTTCTTTGGCAAGCCCAAAGCTCCTGGGAAGGCGAGCTAATTAGATGTTGGGGTGTTTAGGGGAGTCAGTAAGTTGGGTAAAAATGACCACTGTAAGTAATGCTGAGGACCTCAAGAAATATCCTAGAAACTGCACCTCTGAGAAGAATCTGGCATAGCCCTGACACTGAACTGGAGTTTCCTGGCGGCTAGGGAGCTGGTGGGTGAGCGCCTGCTCTTTCCCATGACCCACCTATGAGCTCCGGCATCCGCACCCTCGTAGCATCTCCAGCTCGGAGCACCTGTCCTGACGCTCCAGCTGCAGAACCTCACTGCCTCCTGCTGCAGTGGACGTCCTCTCCTGCCCCTCTGTCCTGCCTCAGATCTGCTCCATGTTAGCCCTCTAGCTGTGGCAGAATAGCAATAGCCCCAGCTTCTCTGTTATCCCTCCCCTGGAAGTGGGTGAGCTCTGAGCACCAAGTCCTCAAGTCAGGTAGGCTCTGGGACAGCTCTGTCCTGCAGATGGGCTGTCAGGAGGCTCCAGAGCAATCGCCATCAGCTCAACACCCTTCCAAGATGCCCCGGTCCCCACGTGAGGCAGCCCTGGCTGGCTCAACTCTGCCCTAACTCTCCTGATTGGCGACCTGGGTCATGGTGTTCTAGACCACCAGGTGTGGGCTGCTGTTGTGCTGCAGCTAGGCCGTAGAGCAGCTCTCCACCAGAGTCACGGCCAGAAGTCCCCCGCAGGTCCCAGTCTGACCCCAGCCAGCCACCAAGCTCGTTGGCTCACTTGTGCCTTATCTCTGGCAGTGTGTGACTCCCTCCTGCCGGGCGGCCTGCAGCCGTGGTATGCCACCCAGCGCTTCACCCTGCCCACGCTCTCCATGCTGGTCATCCTGCCCCTGTCCATGCCACGGGACATCGCCGTCCAGAAATACACAAGGTACAGGGGCTGCAGACGCTTCCAGGCAGGGCAGCGTGCCAACTGGGTCTCCCCTTGGCGAATGCTGGCATTAGGAGGGACGAGGGGACCGCTGGGCTCTGGCTCCCCATTTGGAGAAGGGAAGAGATTGAAGCTTGTAGAAACGACACTCGCCCCTGGTGGGAAACACAAATCTGCAAGAAGCTTGCTGTGACATGACATTGTGTTCTTGAACTGTCACCGACTTGTCCTGCCCACAGCCACACACAGGCATAGAGACACGCACAGCTTTTTCTTGATTTTTTTTTTCCCCTGAGGCTTTGGGTTTACTATTGAAGAAAGGAGCGTGGGGCACCTCACCCAGGCTGCACAGGCCTTTCCCCTCAGGGCATGTGAGCAGAGGTAGATTTTTGCCTCTGGAACAATAGACGTGGCAGGCCACAGAGCTTCTGAGCCACGGTCAGAGGTTGACCACTGGTACCCTGACCTGGGTGCCAAGTCTGAGCAGCTGACTGGCCTTTGTTAGTGAGGGGCAAGTTATCATCTCCGAGGACGCCAGTGACATTAAAAACTCCACATGCCCAGCCTCTTGGCCTGAGTGGCCAGTGCTGCTGCCCTTTGTACAGATGAGGGGACGCATGCTCAGGAGGAGAATGCGACTGCGCTGGCCAGGGAGGGCAGGAATTTGGATGCCAGTGTGCACCTCCCTGCGCTGGCTGTCGCCCAGTGTTGGCACCCTGACGCCCACCCGTCTGTGTCAGCACCCTAGGCACCCTGGCCTCCTGTTACCTGGCCCTGGTCATCACAGTGCAGTACTACCTCTGGCCCCATGGCCTCGTGCAGGAGCCCCGTCCTTCCCTGAGGTGAGTCTGCGCAGACAGCTCTTCGTGGCCTCCAGAGGGAGGCCCCCGGGGAGCCTGCATGTGGGACTTCTGGGCTTTCCTGCAGGGCCCTGGCCCTTCCTGTGAGGTCTCTCTCTTTCCTTATGCGTGACAAGGCCAAGGAAAGCCCCTTCCTTCTTTAGAAAGGTTGCAGCCATCCCAAGGGATGACCAGCTACAGGCCCAGGCCACACAGGTGCTGAAGGCCACACTAGCCTGGGGCTCCTGGCCATGGTAGATGTGTCCCTACAGGGGGATGCAGCAAAACCCAGCAGCCAGGTTACTTGGGCAGAGGGGACCGTGAGGAGGCTAAGCTGGTGGGCCACTCAGCCAGGACAGAAAGTGGCAGAGCACTCGCCTCGCATGTAGAAGGCACTGGGTTTGATCCTCAGCACCACGTAAATAAAATAAAGGAATTGTGTCCATCCTCAACTAAAAGAAATTAAAAAAAAAAAAACTCGTAGCTGTACTCAGGTAGGGCCTCTGGCATGGCTTAAAATTCATCCTCTCGAGTTGCGAGTGATTTGAGTTCCCCTTCCTTAACAAACGCCTGTTCTTGTGACTTGCAGCCCTCCGCCCTGGACGTCTGTGTTCAGTGTCTTCCCCACGATCTGCTTCGGTTTTCAGGTGAGTTCAGAGTGTGGCCGTTTCCGAGGCTCCCTGCTCCTGTCAGGGAGAAGTCCGAGGACTTGTTCTAGGGTGCCATGGGCTCTCGGCACCCACAGTGTTGGCCAGAGGCTGTCTTCAGAGACTAAGTCAGTGGGTTGGCGTCTGGCTTCCCTGGCGGGTTGTGAATTGTCATTGAACTTGGGAACCTAGTCCTCACCAGCAGCAGCTCCATGTGTACTAGGTTTGCGGTAGAGTGTGGGGACCTGGAGCCTGTCCCCCTCTGCAGAGTGCTGACAGACTGTCACCATGCGGGCAGGCCTGGGGCTGCCCTCCTATGCTCCAGGACACCATGCCTGCAGGTGGTTTGTCCCAGGGCCCAGGTGAGAAGGATCGTGTCTCGTGAGGTTCACAGTTTGGAGGGACCAAGTGGCAGAGGCAGGTGAGGAGTGAAGGCAGCTGGTGTGGCCCCCCCAGCAGAGGCGGGGGCAAGGACTCTGGAAGGATGGGGGCGCAGCCAGGTGGAGGAGGGTCCGCCAGGCGGAGGCCGCAGCACAGGGAGCCCCCAGCAGGCTGGCCTGGGCAGGCGGAGGGCGGTGGTGGAGGAGGGGCGGCCCACGCCCCTCTGTGGAACTGGGGCTCCCTGCTCTCCTGGCAGCTGCCACCTTTTTTCGTGGTTTGCTTTGGGGAAGTTTTGCCTCCATCTCCTAAAAACAACCACCTCCCCTCCACTGATGCCACCCCCAACCACAGGACTCTGCAAAGTAAAACCCAGCTCCGAGGACTGGCGCAGTCCGCCTTTCAGCCTCGAGTGCCCTCACCCCCCCTCCCACAGCCGGTCTCTGCTGTCGTCTTGCCTTTTTTTTTGAGAAGCATTTTTGGAATATCTGAAACACTCCTGTTTCTCATCTTTATTACCGACCCGGTGCCGCTGCTGGGGTTCCGCCAGCAGCTCAGGCGATTTTCTCACACCCAACATCTTGGGAGATGCGCAGCGTGGATTTGCTGTTGGCTGTGATCTGCTCTAGCTTGGCTGCCCCTCCTGGCCCCGGCCACGGCCACATGGTGGGCGCCTGGCCCTGGCTTCACCTTTGTCTTGGCTGCCCCAGCTCTCCTAGCAACCAGGCCGGCTCCGTTTCCAAGGACACCCGCTGCGCTGCTTGGCTGCCTGACAGCGGGGGCAGGGTTAGGCCAGAGGGGGGGGAAGAGATGATGGAGGCTGAGCAGCTCGGGGAGGGGCAGGTGGGCCTGTTGTCCTCAGGAACGGACCTCATTCAAACCGCCACCAGGCGCAGTTAGCAGTGGACGGTCCCTCCCGCATGGCCTGTGCAGGCTGGGTGTGGGGCCTGAGGAACAGAGGGGCTGCCCGGATGATTCCAGCCGCCCAGGCCTCCCTGGGACTTCTGGGTTTGTTTTTACCTCTTTGTTGAGGGGCAGGTCACTTATTGTATGACCTGACCTTCTGAAGTGCACAAGTTGACAGTCACAGGCCTACAGCTGCCACCACCATCAATTTCAGAACATGTTTGCCAGGCCCCAAAAGAGCCCCCTAAGTGTCAGCAGCCGCTCTGCCTCCCTCTCCCAGCCCCCAAGGACCTCTGACCTGCTCTGTGCCTGGGTCTCCCCTTATATGCCTTTCATATACATGGGACCGGTGACGTGGCACTGCGTCTTCCCCTCGGCACCATGTTTCCTTCACGTGGTGCGTGTCTGCTCCCTTCCTCGCTATGGCCCAAGTAGCGACCACCCAACAGTCAGCCACAGTCTCTGTGTCTGGTGTCCCCACCTCTGCTCGGCCTCTGTCACAGAGCAGCTGTGAGCCTGCACACACCAGCCCCCTCACCCCAACTGCCCTGCAGAGCAGCCACCCTGAGGGCCCCTCTTTGTCACCCGCCGTCAACAGACAGAAGCCCCACGCAGGAGCACAGGGAAGGAGGCTTCCTGGTGCGTCCAGCACCCTGAGGTCTGCCCCCACGTTGGGCCCCGCCGTGCCTCTGCACACAGAACTGAAAGCAGAGCCTGGGATGCGGGGGCACCTGGGGTCTGCTGTGAACAGGGGACGGTGTGTGGAGGAGCACCCTCAGGTCATGGCCGGGCGGAACTCCTGGCCGTCTGGGAAGTGTGCGTCCCAGGAGCGCCCCAGCATGGAGGAGCTGCGGGCCTCATCCAGAGTCTCCTGCCTGTGGCGGGGGGCTTGGGGCTCAGCTAGCCTGTGGCCTTCATCTCCCGGGGTTCAGGGAGACCCCAGAGAGAAAGGAGGCACACAGCTGCCCCAAGGGAGGTGCACCAGGGCTCACCCAGGTGGGGCCCGGAGGGATGAGGCCAGTGTGCCGCCCCCACCTCCGAGAGGGGAGCTCCATGACAGGGCACTGTGGCCGGCTTGCTGACACTGTATTCCCAGCACGCACCAGCATCTGAGTGACACGGAGCCTGGGACAGGGAGGGACAAGGGTGGCTGCCGGGGAAGTTGGGAAACTTGGTTAACTAAACATGGTTAACTATGGTATGGTTGTCAGCCATGCCAGGCTCTGGGCAGCCCCAGATCGGCAAGGTGGCCACAGTCATGATCATGCAGCTGATGGCTGCTGAACACCAGACCCAAAGGAGCACTTGTTGGGGCCAAGTGTGAGAGGGGACGCTGGGTCCAAGCAGGATGAGTAGGGCTGGGTGGCAGCTCAGCTGCAGAGGGGCGCAGGAGGGCCCTGCTCAGTGAGTGACCAGTGGGGCGGTGGTGAGCAAGGAACCAGGTGATGAGACCCTACCTGGGAGCTGGGAGCCTGGAGTGCGGAGTGTGTGAGAGGAGGCAGCATCCGTCCACCCTGGCTGCTCTGCCGTGCCAGTGCCACGTCTGCCCGAGTGCAACACCCAACCACGGGGGCTCTTGCATCCCCTGCACGGTTTATGTGGCAAGTCCTGTAAGAGGTGACATGTTGCACATGAAGTATTCAGGTTTAAGTCTGCTCCTGAGTGACGCTGTCCACTCCGGGAGGCCCCTCGCTGCCTTTTCCCACAAGTGGCACCCATTCTACCTGAACCACTGTTCCGCCATCTGTCACCTAGAGCAGAGATGCTCCTGAGTGACGTTTGGCCACATCTGGAGACGTTTGGGCTGTCACAAATGGGGGCATCCAGGGGATCACAGCTGGAGTGCTACACACAATCCTTCAGTGCACAGAGCAGCCCCCACCAAGAGACTACCTGCACCCCCCACCAAGAGACTACCTGCACCCCCCACCAAGAGACTACCTGCACCCCCCACCAAGAGACTACCTGCACCCACAAAGCCCGTAGTGCCGAGGTCAGGAACCCTGCTACAGACTTGTCTGAACTTCACCCCGCGGCATGCTCTCCCGCCTGGCCCTGTGTTCATGGTGGCATGCCTGCGAGTCTTCGGGGCTCAGGTGGAGAGCTGGGCTCCATCTTTTTGGAGCCATGCAGTCTTGCCTGTGTGAGTCTCCCGTGGTCTATTTATGTCTTCTGCTAATGCTGGACACACAGGGTGCTCCCCGCCTTTGGGCGGTATTCCCAGTCGTTCAGGTGGTCCTGACGCCTGCTGACCTGAGTCTCGCTGACCACACTTCTGCCCTCCAGTGTCACGAAGCCGCCGTCTCCATCTACTGCAGCATGCGCAGCCAGAGCCTCTCCCACTGGGCCCTGGTCTCCGTGCTGTCCCTGCTGGCCTGCTGCCTCATCTACTCGCTGACAGGTAGGACCCTGCGGGGCACCCAGGGGTGGGCAGGGCGTGGCAGAAGGAAGGGGAGCCACAGCTAGTGCTGGCTCCACAGTTTCCATTCTGAGCGCCCCACAGGAACAGGCCCCGCTCGGAGATGAATAAACGCAGCTCAGAGGGCCCCGGGGCTTGCCCAGGGCCTCACAACTAGATGTGCAAAGCTGAGAGTCACCCTCTGCTGTCCTCAAAGCCCCTGCTCCTCCTGCTCTCAGAGACAGCAGCAGTGCAGCCCTCGTGACACCACATCGGGGTGGTTCGCAAGACACTTGCAGCTGACAGGCTCGGGTGCTTACGAACTCTGCGAGACAGGCAGCGGATCCTCAGATGTGTGGCTTAGAAAGGGGCCATGACATGCCTGAGGTCACGGGCACATTGCAGCACAGAGCCAGGTCTGAGGTGGGGCGGGATGACTTCTGGCCACTTCCCAGCCTGGTGGCTTTTTAATCCACCTGTTGGAGCCTCTGATTTGGAAAGGCTCGGGCTGCAGCAGGCCTGCCAGGCAACTTTGGACTACTGAAGCCACCCTAAGGGAACTCAGCAGAGCAGGGCTTGTCGGTCTAGCCCCGAGTCGGAGGACACCCAGAGCTGGCAGACCCCCTTCAGAAAGAGCCCTGAGCAAAGCCAAGGAGGCCTCAGCTCTTGGCCAGAGGGTGTGCTTTAGGGCAGGTGTGACCCTGGTCACTGAGGCCAGGGGATTGTCCTTGAGTCCCAGGCCACCATAACAGCTGTGTGGTTCTGGGTGGCCACTGACCCGGGGCTGTCCGAGGAGCGGGCCGGGCTGGAGCAGGTTGGGTTTTCAAGCACTGAGCCTCCAGCCTCAGCCCACTCTGGGCAGGCCCCTGGCACCAACTGTGAGCAGACACCAGGGCTGGGCGGGAGTGCAACCCAGGGGCATCACGTGCAGGCTGAGGGCCAGCAGGACGGCCTTGGAGAAGGGCTGGATGGGAGCCCTTCTGGAACCTTCCCTCAGCTCCCAGGGAGACCCGCGGGCCCTGTGTGTTGGGGGGTTGGCCTTCTCCGTCTGAAGTGTGCTGGATGCTGTGCTCCGGCCGCAGGGGCTTATGGCTTCTTAACGTTTGGGACCGGAGTTTCTGCTGACATCCTGATGTCCTACCCGGGTGATGACGTGGCCATCATCGTCGCCCGGGTCCTCTTCGCCGTCTCCATTGTGACCGTCTACCCCATTGTGCTCTTCCTGGGGAGGTGAGCCGGGCGGGGGTGGCTGGCAACTAGTGGGTGGGTTCAGCCTGTGGCAGGGCTGTGTTATCTCGGAGGAGAGAGGAGGAAACCAGGCACGGAGGGCCTGGGGAGCTTACCCAGAGCTGCCCAGTGCTGCCCAGTGAGCGCCAACCAGGACTGGGCCGAGCCACACGCGCTGGACCTTCGCCCGTGCTGCACTCTGCTGGCAGCCCATCTGACAGTCGCTGAGCCCCTGAGGGTTGGGGGTCCCCTGGGGAGTAAGCACCTGGGGGCAGAACGGGGGACCAGAGGAGGACTTGGGGACTGGCAGTGCCCAGCACTGGCTGGGGCCCCTGGAGTGCCATGTTTCTGGGTCGGCACGGTCTCCAGGTCTGTGATGCAGGATTTTTGGACAAGGAGCTGCAGAGGGACTCAGGGGCCCCTGGTGCTAGCTGACCCCACGGGGCCGTGGGTTCGAGTGCCGCTGACCATATTGTGGGTTGCTGTGACACTGGCCATGGCCCTGTTCCTGCCCGACCTCAGCGAGATCATTGGCATCATCGGGGGCATCAGCTCCTTCTTCATCTTCATCTTCCCGGGTGAGTGGCCGCCTCCAGGCTTGCCCAGCTCTGTGGGGCCTCAAGGTTCCGTGGGGTGGGAGCCCTGTGGGCAGGCTGCGGGCCCCAGGCAGGCCCCTGGTCACCAGGCATGCGGCCTGAGGCTTTGCACACCTGCCCTGGCTTAGCAGCTCAAGATCCCACGGATGGGGAGGCCCAGGCCAGAGTCCCAGGAGGCTCAGCTGGAGCGTGGCAGGGCCGAGCCCACCGCAGCTTTGTCCACATGCCACTGCTGCCTCTTACTGCAGGATGAGGCTTAATTTTTTAATTGCAGCGAAACTCACATAGCTCCAGGTGCAAAAGACACGAGGGACGTCCCCACCCGTCCCGGAACTGGAGGCACACTCCCTTTCCCCAGGCGAGGGCTTCCTGAGAGACCTCCCAGTGTTGGCACGCATTCCAGTCCCAACCCGGCGTTCTCCCCAAAGGAACCCAGCCAGGGCCAGCAGGGGTGCGCTTCAGGGCCCGAGGAGCCCTGGGGGGACAGCTGAGGCCCACAGGCCTGCAGTTCTGCTGGGAGAGCAGCCACATTGTGCAGATGGTAAAATTGGGGAGCCTGTAGCCAGACACCCTCAATGCCGCAGTCCAGCTGCCATGTCAAACAGGGAGGCCGGTGCCCCTGGGTGGATCTCCAGAGACCCAACGGGAAGTGAAGTTCAACTTGGGGCCAGGTAGAAGGGCAGCGAGGGCATCACCAACAGCCTTGGGGGACAGATGTTGACATGGAGGGCCGGGGAGAAGCTGGGTATCAAGAGGCTGAGGACACTTACAGAGTGGGAGCAGCAGGCTATCTGGTGGGTTGAGCTCGGGGTGGACAGGTGGAGGGGGGCTTCCTCCATCCTGGGAAGAGCTCTCCCAGCCGCGCGCCCTGAGCTCCTATCTGGGCGCCGTATTCCGGTTTAGCTCGCGCTGGGTGCCTTGAGTCCCAGCCCTCCCATGCGGGCTGGAGGTCGGTGGTGGGGATCCCGTGGGCCCTCCAGAGCTACTTTAAAACAGGTACACATAGGCAAAGGCAAAGAAGCCGTGTCTGCCAGCCGCTGAGCGCCTCCAGGTGTCAGCTTCATCTCCGCCATACCCTCACTGACGCTGCTGTGGGCGGTGTTGTCACTGTCCCTGAGAGACTGAGGCTCTAGAGGCCATTGTCACCACTGGCCAAGGTGTTGGAGGGGTGCTGAGCTGGAACTCCCCCCACCTGCCTGACTCCAAGTTGAGCCTCAGGCCCCCACATTGTGCCACCTAGCCAGGAGGGACTGGCCTGTGGGCCACCTGTGGGAAAGTCCTCGAGGGGCCCCTGAGGTCACCTGGGTGCTGACTGCATCTCTTCATAGGTCTGTGCCTCATCTGTGCCGTGGGCATCGAGCCCGTAGGACCAAGAGTCAAGTGAGTGTCCTCAAAGCCAGGATGGTGGCTCGGGTGTGCCCATGGACTTAGGAGTGAGAGTGCTTCTGTCCACCCTCCTCCTGTGGGGAGGGGGCATCCCCATGGTAAGAGGGTAGCTGAGCTAGATGGGTTCCCAGCCAGCAGTGCCCGGCGTATGCACATCCACCCGGTCCTGGCTACTTGGCTAGACCCAGGGCAGGACAGGCTGCCTGCTGGTGGAGTCTGGGAGCTGCGGTGGCAGGCTGGACCCAGGGCTACATGCAGTGTCCTCAGACAGCAGGTCTTGCTGGTGCCCTAGGTGCGGCCACGCTGGGCCTGTTACACACCACCACCGTCCTTCTGGGGAGCCTCCACTGGTCAGGAGACGACAGGACAGAGTGGGGCTGGTTCCCATTCACAGGTGCAAAGACAGAGGCTGGGCAGGTGGGGACATGCTGCTCTAGCGTTTTAGGGCCACCAGAGCAGATTCGCACCTCCTGAGGCCGAACGCAAGGAAAGCGCCCTCTCCCAGCCCTGGGGACCAGCCTGCTGGTGGCCGCTGTGTCCTTGGCTTGTAGCTGCTGCACCCGTGTCTGCCTCCGTCCTCCTGTGGCCATCTGCTCTGGGTCTCAAGTCCCCCACTGCCCTTCTCTTAGAAGGACATCTCCTCACAGATCCTCATGCCGTCACTTCTGCAAAGACCTGTTTCCAAAGAGGTCACACGCATGGGTCCCAGGTGGACGTGAGCCTTAGGGGACACATTCAGCCCAATTCAGACACTCTGAAGTCACAACAGCCAGGGTGTGGCCCGGCTGTGTCCCTGTCCCCCAGCCCCTCTGGACTCAAGCTCAGCTTCTCCAAAGAGCAGGCTCAGCGTGGCTTCTCCCCACCTGAGCCCAGAGCTGACCCTGGCCATCTGGCACCCTAATGGCATGTCTCCGGTGCGCTCTTTGGAATCTTGCTGTTGGGCTCTGTCCCATGATCCATGCTCATCACGGTTTTTATTGGAGAGCTTTCAAGACGATTTTCTTCCTAAGCTGCTCTCGTCCTCCTGAACCACTGAGTGGCTTCAAGGGGTGCTGTGGCTGGGGTCACACCTGCCGTACCCCCACTGTGTGCGTGGGTGGCACTGACATGTGCTCACCAGAGATGCCCCTCCTGGCCCCTGGGTCCTCCTAGCCTCTGTTGACGGGGCCAGAGCCATCTCTGGCCACCCTGCTGTTGGTGGGAATCTTCTCGTTGCCCCACCTCCTTGACTCACCTGATTATATTAGGAAGCTTGCGAATGTGGCCCTGGCAGCCAGTCCCCACCCCACACCTCCACCACCCTCCTCCCCCAGTGGGTGTGTGACTGTGACTTACAGCTTCTATCTCATCCCTCATTGGGAGGCTTAAGTAGATGAGAAGAGGGGAGTTTGAAACAGAGCCCCTCACCCCTCAGTTTCTTTTTCTCTGATAAAATATTGGGGAGAAACAAGATTATGAACTAAGAGATGGAGAGAGGAGGTTTTGGGAAATGCCTGGGTACTTTATTTCCCAAAATTGACTCAGAAACCCATCCCCTCAGGTAAAGGAGAGAAAAGGATTTTCTCAAAACCGGTGACTCTCCTGGGGTCCAGCAGCACGTTTCCAGGCCGGCTTCGCTCGTGGGTGCAGGGCCGGCTGTGCCTGGCGCTGACGTGGTGCATTGAATTGGCAGGTGCTGCTTGGAGGCCTGGGGCGTGATCTCTGTGCTGCTGGGCACCTTCATCTTTGGGCAGAGCACAGTGGCAGCTGTCCTGGAGCTGCTCTGAGCAGCCCCTACAGGTGACCTGTGCAGCTCCCACCTCTATCCCTGAGACCGATGCAGGTTTCATCATGAAGATGCTGGGCAAACAGACAGCTTCCGCCTTCCAGGCTGCCCGTGGACTCTGCTCCTTCCAGGATTTCTGGTGAGGAAAGACGGAATTAGGTTCTAGCAGCTGCTGTGACAAACCACCACACACAATGACTCAAAGCAACATTAGCGTGTTGCTTCCAGTCTGGAGGCCAGATTTTGCAGTGGAGGTCTGGTGGGCCGTGCTCTCTTACTGTTGGTGGCTGTTGGTGCTCCTCCGTGACCCTGGCTTGCAGATGTCACTCAGTCTCTGCTTTCGTCTTCACCTGGCCACCTCCCCTTTGTGTGTCCAAATCTCCTCCTCCCTACAAGGATACCAGCCCTTCGTTCGGGGCCATCCCCATTAAGTATGTCCTCCTCTGAACTTGACTGCATCTCGTCTCAGTTACTCAATTAGGATGTATAAAGATCCAGTCTCCAAATAAGGTCACATTGGCAAGGGCTGGGGGAAGGCCTTCAGCTACCTTGGGGACAGGACTCGGCCCAGGACACAGAGGTGGGAGCCGAGGCTTTGGGTGTATTGATCAAGGTGAGGGCAATGGGCGCCCAGGAGGAGACTTGGGGGCACGACTTGGGGGCATCCCTCGGGGGCAGTGGAGGGGTGAGCCCTCTGCCCAGGGCCTGGACCAGAAGGTGCACAGGTGCAGCCCAGCGTGGGTCCCAGGAGACGCCTTCCCTGCCACTCGCTGTGCCTGGAGAGCCCAGGAGCCAAGTGGGCCCATCGCCCTGTAGCTCCCTCCTGGCCCCACCCTGTCCCCTGTCCCCTGACCCTGCCCTGGCAGGAGTCAGCCTGCTGCCAAGAGTGTCAGGGCAGATCCTTCAGAAGAGTGCTTTCCCCTGGGCAGGACGCGACCAGGCAGTGGCCTGTGCCCTTCCCATGTATGTCACACACAGCGTCTGTGACCCAGTGAGGTCGATGGTGGCAGGACTGTGTGTGTGCCAGCCTGTCCACGTGCACTCAGTCTAAATGCCACGCTGTAATTCACACACTGTGAGACACACCCCCCCAGGTGCACAGTCCAGGCACTTGGCGTGTTCAGTCACGCCACCACCCTGCCACCCCCCTGCCACCCCGCCACCTAGCCACCTGCCTGCAGCAGCTGCCCTCACCCGGGAGGGCCCCATGCCATCAGCAGCCCTGTCCCCTCAGTCTCCAGGTCGTCCTGTCTGGACACACCTGGTCAACCCAGGCGGAACGCAGTCCTGTGGGGGGCTCCCTTGAGGGAGCACAGTGTCCACTGCACAGGTGGCAGCTGAGGCGTGGGAAGGCCAGGGCTGCCTGTCCTGCAGGCTGCAGCGCTGAGTCACAACCGACCTTGGCTTGAGCTCCACTGTCTGCTTCCTCTACCGCCTGCTCCAAGCAGAGGAGTGACCACAGGGGGGGACATGTGCTCAGCCTGCGGATGGGGTGGAGCCCCTACCAGCCTCCTCCACAGCCGCTGGGGGAGGGGCGTGGCTGCAGGCAAAGGCCCTGGACCCTGTGAGGGGACGCAGGACCTCTCCCAGTCCCCTTGAACCAACACCATGGTGACCTGCCCACCCTGTGTCCAGCGGCCACAGGGTCCTCCCAGACAAAGGCTCAGGAGCCAGGATGCACACCAGGCAGGGTGCTCTAGCAGGTGAGCTGAGGATGGTGGCCTTTGTTGACACCTGCTACCTCCAGGGCTCTGCTGCATGGGCCAGAAGGCTGGGCCAGGCTGTTCAGAGAATCCAGGAATAACAAAGCAGGCACAGTAAGGGTCCTGCCATGAAGGGAGGCCACCTGACTGGCTTTGAACCTGAGCTTGGTTGGGAACCTGGCTCCGCCACGTGCTATCTCAGAGCTGCTGGGAACGTAGGAACTTTCATCCTGGCCCAGTGGAGCTGGCTCCTGTTCCTGTGTTTTCACTGTGAAGCTCGAGGGTGGGGCTGCACCTACAGCCGCTAGGGTGTCTCTCACCAAGAAAGGCAGCTGCGTTTCCAGAAAACACCAAGGTTGGCAGAGGACACCGAGTTTCCTAGCAGTTATGGGAAAAGGGAAATGGGAGGATTCGAGAGCTCCCCCAGCACACAGGAGGGAGTGGACGGGCATTAAAGGTAAGAGGAGGAGAGGGCAAGGGCTTTAGGGGTGCCCGCATTGCCACCAGGACCAAGGTTTCCAGCCAGTTCTGTGGCAGGTTCAGATGTGAGCCACACGTTGGCATCCCAGCACAGGGACAGCGGCCTGCCAGCAGAAGGAGGCCCCCTGGCTGTCTGACCTGGGGAGGAAAATGCTGACGGTCTTTTGGACTGTCCTGCTCAAATGCCAAGTGGCGCCTTGAGGTCTGTGTGGGACAGGGAGGCAGAGGGCCGAGGAGGGCGTGGGTGGGGCTGAGCCTGCAGGATCCAGGCTGACCTGGGTCACCGGTGACAACTGCTTGGGTGTAGAGATGCAGGTGCCTAAAGCCACCTCTTCCAAGAGAGCACGTGACACATGTATACCAAGGGCCTCACCCTGCTCTGAGCATGGTGGCTGCAAGGGCGCTGAGCACCTGGGGAAACCTGTCCACGAGCTCAGGGTCACACAAAAGGCCCTGTGCCACAGGGCCACCGCTGAGGCCTCCCACGGACAGTCTGGGGTGGAGCAGGGCCCTCGAGGGTGCGTCGGGGAGCTCTGTGCAGGTGAGTCGGTGGGGACTGAAATTCCTGTAACATGATTGACAGCTTCGTGGTGACGATCCCAGGCTTCGGTTGTGCCCGGTGCCACCCCTCCCCAGCTCACGACCACAGTCGCCCCGGGCTTGCGGTTCCGGCACTGGGCGGGGTTTGTGGGTCCTAGCTCTGCCTCCCGCCCCGGGGTTTGCAGGTCCTGGCGCTGGTGGGAAGGATGCGGGGTGGCTCCCTTGCGGTTCCGCAGAGCATCCTTGCTGTGACCTCGTCAGCGCCGTACTCCCTTATGACTCGGTGCAGTCCTCCCTCGGTACCACCTGGCGACTTGGCCAGGGTTCCAGGGCCCCAGACACCAGGCGCTCTGGCACCGAGTGTCCTGCCCAGAGTGGTGTGTGCGTCTGTGACGAGGCGCGTCCTCTGGGTATTTCATTTGTGCTGCGGAGGGAGCCCAGGGCCCCGCACCTGCTAGGCAGGTGCTCCACCACGGAGCTGCCCCTGGGCTCCCCCGGGCGCACGGCAGGTGGCCTCTGGACGATGTGGCCCCGAGGCATCCTGGGTGTGTAGGCAGCGGTTAGCGTGATGTTCCGGGAATAACGGCAGGGAAGGTGGGTACGTGTCCAGTGCAGGTGCAGCCATCCGGCCGGACCACCTTGCACCCACCCCAGAGCACCCTGCCCGTGGCTGGCGACTCTGGCTGCGCAGCCTGGGGCCGCACAGGGCCCACTGGCTGCGGCGTGTTCTGTACCTGCTGCTGGTCCGTGGGTATTTGTGTTGTCTCCCCCTTTTGGCTGCTGTGGCCAGTGCCGCCGTGAATACTGCTGCAGATACGTGTTTGAATGCCTTTTAAAAATTCTTGTGGGTATAGTGTGTATCCAGAAATAGAATGGCTGGGTCATAGGGTAACTCTGCCTTTAACTTTTTGAGGAAACTGATTCGGACATTAAGGGTCTTCCCCCGCCCCCCACCATGGAGTGCATGGTAGTTGGACACAGGGTTGTGGGTAGGTGGCTCTCGGTTAGAGTCCACCTGAGCTATTAGTTTGCTGTGTGACCTCTGGCAAATTACTCGTCCTCTCTGTGTCTTCGTTTCCCTGCCCAGGATGGTGCTGTGAGCATGAGGGAGATGGTGCCAAGTGCTTGATTCTGTGCGTGGCTCTGAAGTGTCAATCAAGTGGAGCTCTTATGCCTTTTAGGGTTGAAATGTGTTCTCTTCAGAGCCTGATCCCACCCACCCTGCCTGTGAGGGGGCTGCCAGCAGCCCAGGAGGGGGGTGCAGGGTGCCCCTGTTATGCCTGGAGAGACTTGGCACTGAGTCCTAAGGGTACAGTGGCCCCCTCTGGGTGCCGCTGCAGGTCCCTGCCCTGCAGGAGGAGGGCACAGGCTGGGGACTGGTGCCAGGGTGCACCTCAGGGACAGCAGGCCTCAAGCCCACCCCACTGTCCCGAATGCCTGCTGTTCTGGTTGTGTGGGGTGCCAAGGGGAGGGCTGGGCAGGTGGCATGGGCAGGCGTAGGAAGAGGCGCGTCCGTGGGTCTGCTTCCTGGGCCATGGCCTGCTGCCCCCCACTCCCCAGCCTCCCTGCCCTGCAGGAGCCCTGCTGGCCTCACCTCTTCCTTGTCCCTTGAGCCTTCTGTGAGGCTGTCCTCTAACCAGGACAGAGCTTCCAGAACAGGACCTCAAGGCCAGCACGGGGCTGCCTTGCCAGACAGCAGCTGCACCCCAAGCTCTGGGCAGCCCTGGCCTTGCCCCCCAGAAGGCCAGCTCTACGCCCCTGGGGTATCCTGCAGTCTTTGTTTACCTGGGCCACCTGGTGTCCATGCTAAGGACTCAAGGTGGGGTCCCTGGGGCGGGGCAGGGCTGACACCACTACTGCCACCTGGGCTGGCTCTGCTGACTCGGAGGGTCCCTGTGCTGCCCTAAACCATAAGTGACCCCAGCAGCTTCCCCGAGTCCCTTGGCTGAGCTCAGGATGGTCCTGGGACCCAGAAGGGCTCACAGGCAGGAGCGTATGTGTCACATGCCTCCCCACAGAGCGGTCACCCCCTCCACACTGCAGACAGGACCTCGAGGCCAGGCGTCTTGGGTAAGGTCTGCGGCAAACCCGGGGCCATCCTGGCGGCCAGCTGTCACTCAGGGGAAAGGGGACACAGAAGCACAACACACAGCTGTTCCCAGCTAGGGTTTATTTGGTGCCTAGGGTGGCACTGTTACATGGGCACTCAGGGCCACGGCTCCTACCAGGGAGGGGATGTCAGGAGGGGGTGAGAAGTGGCTGTGGGCAAGTCCTGCTGAGCCAGGGCTGGCCTGGCGAGGGCACCTGGGGGGCAGGAGGGCTCGGTGGGGATGCCAGCCCAGGAGCCTCAGGGGGACCCCAGAGCACAGAGCTGGCTCGGGTGGGGGCAGGGGTCCTCTTTCACTCCAAACCGCAGAGGAAATACATTCTTGTTTAGAAGTATATTGAAAAGACTGTACCAAAGTTTCTAGAAAAGGGGGGGCCCTTGACAAGAGGGGTGCTGCCTCCACAGCTTCAGCGGCGGTCAGTCTCGGCCCACGGTGCACCAAGCGGCTAGAGGCGGGAGGAGAGAGTGGGGTGGTGAGCACGCAGCCCCTTCCCTTGTGTTCTGAGGAGGGGGCGGCTGGCAGGCCGAGCGCCCCCCCACCTTGGGCCTCAAGGTGGGGTCCCTAGGGCGGGGCAGGGCTGACACCACTACTGCCCCCTGGGCTGGCTTCTCCCCCAGGCCCCTCGGGCATGTGCCTCACTCGCGCTGGCCCAGGGCTGCAGAGGGCCAGCCCCGCCCGCTCTGAGTCCTGGCCTGGCCCCCTGTTCTGTGGCTGGTGGGGTGTGGGCCTGGGCCTCTCCTGAGCCCTATGCCAGCGTGGCTGTCGAGACTGGGCATCGGGCTCTGCTCCCGGTAGGGAGGTGGCGGAGAGTCACTGCAGGACTGGGGCCTCCTCAGCTGGCGCCACCCGGCGGGCTGCCCTCAGGCTTGCTCTGCTGGAACTCGGGAGCTGGGCAGCCCTCCCCAGTGCTGGCCCTCATCCCTCTACCTGGCACTGAGATCCGGGAGAGGGCCTCCGGCTGGCGCAGTGTGTCCACCTTGACGTGCCGGAATGCCTTGCACACGGGGCTCTGCAGGTGCCTGCGACCAGGGAGCAGGGTAGTCAGGACGGCGTGGGCCACCCCTGAGCTCAGCTCTGTCTGGGATGGGACCTCCGAGGCTCCTGGGCAGAGCAGGAGGCCGGGTGCCAGCTAGAGCAAGGCCCATGCCCCCAGGCCTGGTGGGGCCTGCCTGCCTGGAAATAAGGCCCCTCCACCTCCAAGGTCACCCCAGGGGTCAGGTATGATATCCACCTGTACAGACAACACCCTTGAGGCTGACCAGGACTCAGGCCCTGGCCCCAGAGGAGCCCATCGTCCTCCCCTGTGGTCACTCTGCTACTGCAGCAGCCCTAGGTCCTCAGTTTTCGTCCCTCAGTGCCAGGGAGGAAGGACAGGGGTGCAAAGCCACCCACACCTGTCCTTCCTGCTGGTCTGAGTTCTGGAGGGACCTGGTAGCATCTAGCGAGTCAGAAACCTCAGGACAGTGTTAGATTTCCCCATTGTCACCCAGGGAGGGCAGCAAGTTGCCCCAGATGTGCTCTGAGCAGGTGCCAGCCACAGATGGAACCCCCAACCTACCACCGCCTGCCACTAAGCACTTGGTGGGTGGCCAGGCGCAGGGAGGGAGCAGCTGACCGCACCTGCACTGCTCCGAGTCAGGCTCTGACGCTAGGAGCTGTCCAATGGGAGAAGCTCAGTCCTCAACAGGGCTACAGGGAGGACGACTAAGGAGAGCCGGAGGGCTTCCCAGAGGAGGGTGCGGGATTAGGGGATCTGGGGCACAAGGGACTCTGCACCCACCTGCAGGGGAGCCCCAGGCGCTGGGCAGAGCTGGTCTGCCTGGAACGCGTGCTCAGGAGCCCGCCGTGTGTGGGAGGCTCCCTACGCCTGAGCAACCGCCACCTGTCCAGGACCCGGGCTGGCGCTCATGCTGGGAGAACCTGGGCACAGTGCTCTCCATGCCCCTCCAAAGTCCCTCCGCCACGGAACCAGCCAGCCCACCTCCCCAGCCCCAGCACCCAGGGACAGGGCTGTACCCACCTCTTCCACGCCTCCTCTGTCTCCCAGAACTCATAGATGACGAAGGTGAAGCCGTCCAACAACCTCACAGCGGCAATGCTGGGGGGGAGAGAGGCAGGAGCCTGCGGCGGGCAGGGACCCCACTACCCAGACACGCCAGGGCCACCTTTACATCTTCCCCCAGCTGCCCTCCGGCGGGCTTGGACAGGCTGACCTCAGAGCCAGGCTCCGAGCAACCTGACGGATGTGCCCAGGAAGGACAGCCTGTGGCCCCCACTGGAGCCGGTCCTTGCACTACGGTCCCATGATGGTGCAGGGCCCGTGGTGGCTGGCGGAGTCTAGGGGCAGGGTGCAGGTCTGGGCACTCGCTCAAGCCCGCCCCGGACCCTCTGCTGCTCCCACAAGCTCCGTCCCAGTGACAGTCCTGAAGCCCAGCCAGCAGCCCCACCCTGGGCTACACACCCTGCAGGCCAGGCGGGCCCCTGGGGGACCTGGCCATCACTCCCCCCCCGTGCAAATGGGGCAGATCCTACATGGCTGTGGGGCCTCCGGAAGGCCAGGCTGATGGGCTGGATGGCTCCTCAAGGTCACAGCATCTGGTACTGGCCTTGTCCCTGGCCCTCCCCAGCTGCTTCTCCTCTTTCACCCACTTGGCAGTAGTGAGCCCAGCCCCGGGGGAGGGGACTTCTGCAAAGGTGAACGTCTGTGGGGGGCTCACCCGACAGGCTGCTAATCTGGCCGTAGTTCATTATGCTCCAGTGACACGTGGAGCCCTGGGCACGCAGCTCCATGCGTGGAGGGAGCGGCGTGCTGCCCGGGACCAGCCCTAGCCCTAGCCCCTCTCCCAGCCACAGGCAGGTCATCTCCAGGGGCAGGGCTCGGCTGAGTGTTACTGAGTGCCACCATCACGGGGTGTGGGTGGCGTATGTTGGGCGCCCACACTTGTGGTGTGGGGGGACAATGCCTCTGGCTGGGTGGGAAGACTGAGCCTGGCCCACTCCAGCCACAGGGAGGACACGTGTCCCACAGAGAGGTGGGGAAAGCCTCTTGTGTGCACCCAGGGGAGGCACCCCACAGTGCCACCCCTCCAGAGGGACTGGGGACCAAAGTGGAGGTAAAGGGGCCCCAAGGGCTGAGGGCCAGGGACACCCCTGGAGGATGGCCAGAATCCTCCTGTTCCTATGGTGAAGACCGTCTGCAAGAGCACTTGCCTGGCATGCACAAGGCTCTGGGTGCCATGGCCGGCCCCGCTGGAGCACCAGGGATCTAACAGGGGCCCATCTCACTCTCGGTGCCTGTGCCTTACTTCCTTGAATAAGTCTGTTTTGTTGGACACTGTGGAGTTCTTTTTTACAACGTCCAAGGACCCTATCGTCCTGCATTGAGGTCCTCATCTACTTGACCTGCTTGGACACCCTCTAGTGACACGGCCAGCAGCTCCCTTTACAGATGAGTGAGCAGAAGTTATCTGCTACATCTGCAGGGATGGCCCCGTCCCCTCCCTCCACTGCCTGGCAGGGCTCCCTGCCACCGTCCGCCCCAGGCCACGCCAGGCTCACTCACTGGAAGCAGCTCCCTACTCCAGCGGTGCCCCGCAAGTACTGTCGCAGGGAGTCCAGGAACTCGCTCAGCTGCTCGGGGCACACGGCCATCTCCTGCCGGACAAGCTGCAGGTGCTGCCAGGACAGAGCACTGAGCCTGGGCCCGGCCTCCTCCCCTGGGCTCCCGGCCAGGACCTCTCTGCCTGGCCCAGCCCGGCCCTCCCCCTCCCACCCCTGCAGTTTTTGTTCAAATGTATGAAAACTGGCTGGAGCAGCCAAGTCCCAATGCAGAGAGCATCCCCAGGGCCAGGGTGTAAGGAGGCTGCCTGGGGCATGGGTCCCCAGACACAGCCGGAAGCAGCCAGGAGTCTGCCGACCACCTGGCTCCCGGCCACACCCCTTCATCAAAGTGTTGACCTCAGAGCTCAGCCCAGGGAGGGTGCCTGGAGGGTCCTGCAGCCCACTGCTGGGACTGCTCCTGCCCATCTTGGTCCCAGGCAGGAGGGGTGATGGATCTTGAGGGTCCTGGCTTGGGCAGGGGAGGGTGGCAGGGGCTCAGGGAAGGGCCTCACCCTATTGGAGCCTTCTTCATCCGAGAGGCGCTGCTGCAGGTCAAACCACAGTGTCTGAAACCACGAAGCACACGTGAGGCCTGAGAGGCCACCTTGACCAGGGCGGCCTCCAGGATCATGACAACACCGAAGCACGGGGGCACACAGGGCCCCGCCCCACTGCCCACATCCCCGAGGCTGATGGGCACTCCTGGGCCAGGCCTTGCTGGGCAGGGCTGGTTGTGGTCCATGCACAGAGCTACCTCAGCGGGCCCCTGGAGCAGGGCTGGAGACCCACCATAGGAAGTGGCAGAGAATCCTTCTGTCCCCTGGGGGCACCGGGAGGCAGGCCAGGAGCGCTGGCCTTGGTGGGAGGCCTCAGGAGAGGCAGCAATGGTCTAGGACGCCTTTTTCCCCCGCCACCGCTGCCGACCTGGGAGTCACCTCGTCTTAACCTCTGGAGCCTAGGAGTCTAATGGTCTGCAGGGGGCAGCCCTCCAACAGCCCTAAACCAAGGGATTCCTGAGACATGTGCTTAACTTCCCCGACTCCCCAGGAGGGCTGCCCCTGCAGGCTCCAGGAGAGCTACAGCGGGAGCCTGTCACCTCCTCTGCCTGGGGCCCACAGGGCCCACTCACAGATGCTCAGCCCTGGGCACTGAAGTCACAAAAGCAGGTTCTCAGCGTCTTGGTCTTTCTCCACCTGATACGAGAGCCACAGTTCTTCCTCCTTTAGCCTGGGCACCCCAGTCAGGGCTGCTCCTGGCTATCCTTCCTCCGTGAAAGGAGACTGCCACTGTCACAGGACCACGTGTGCACACATGCATGCACACATGCAGGAAGCGCATCTGTTGTTAAGGGAAACCGCTGGCGGGGGAGCAGGCAGCGTGACCCACTTTACAATTCTTAGTGTTTCCACCGCGGGGCCTTTGCACATTCGCGGTTCCACAAATCACACAGCCAGCCGGAGAGCCCCGACTTCTCCAGGTCATGCTTTCAGAGAAAGTGCTTTCCAAGTGGCGAGGGAGGGCCCAGCAGGGACAAGCCTGTTTCTGGGTTTATAACCATGTTTGTGGGCTCCTGGAGGGCAGGGGCCCCAAGTGGCTCCCTCTGGCTTCCAAATCTGCCCCCCCCCCCCCCCCCCCCCCCCC